ATACACAATGGAATTTTATGCAGCCATGAAGAAGAACGAAATGTTATCATTCGCTGGTAAATGGATGGAATTGGAGAACATCATTCTGAGTGAGGTTAGCCTGGCCCAAAAGACCAAAAATCGTATGTTCTCCCTCATATGTGGACATTAGATCAAGGGCAAACACAACAAGGGGATTGGACTATGAGCACATGATAAAAGCGAGAGCACACAAGGGAGGGGTGAGGATAGGTAAGACACCTAAAAAACTAGCTAGCATTTGTTGCCCTTAATGCAGAGAAACTAAAGCAGATACCTTAAAGCAACTGAGGCCAATAGGAAAAGGGGACCAGGAACTAGAGAAAAGGTTAGAACAAAAAGAATTAACCTAGAAGGTAACACCCACGCACAGGAAATCAATGTGAGTCAATGCCCTGTATAGCTATCCTTATCTCAACCAGCAAAACCCCTTGTTCCTTCCTATTATTGCTTATACTCTCTCTACAACAAAATTAGATAAGGGCAAAATAGTTTCTGCTGGTATTGAGGGGGGGAGGGGAGGGGGGAGTGGGTGGTAAGGGAGGGGGTGGGGGCAGGGGGAGAAATGAACCAAGCCTTGTATGCACATATGAATAATAAAAGAAAAATGAAAAAAATAAAATAAAAAAAATAAAGGGAGGCAAAAACAAATAAATAAATAAATAAATAAATAAATTTCGGCAAAAAAATCTAAATAGAAACTGCACCAAAAAAGATATACAAATGACAAAGGAAAAAACAGGATATACTTATTGTTAATCACTAGGAAAACGCAAAGTAGAACTATACTTGTGAAGTTATTACGAAGTCTGAAATTGAAAATGACCATACATTTTAAGGAGGACATACAAGAGCTAGAAGTCTCATACACCAACAAGGGGAATGTAAAACTGTACATTTTGGCAGTTTGGCAATTTCTTTAAGTTAAATATACCCTTCCCATTTGACCCAGCCTTTTCAACCCTAGATATTTGCACAAGACAAATGAAAATATATCTCAATAGAGTGACTTGTACACAAATATTCATTATAAGTTTATTTGTAATAAACAAAAACTGAAACAGTCCATGTGTCTCTCAGTAGGTAAATAGTGTCATAGCTATGAATAGAATTTTACTTGGCAATAAGAAGAATGAAATATTGATATTCATAACTAACATGCTTAGAAAAGAAACCAGCCAAAAAGAGAACCCATAATGTATGATTTCATTTATGTAAAATTCTGGAAAGTTTAAACTAATCTCTACTGACAGGAAGCAGATCAGGGTTACCCTGGACAGGGAAAGACAGGGAAACATTAAAAGCAAGAAGAGCATGGGGTGAGATCTTCTGGGCACTGAATGAAAATAACTTCAACCCCAGGATACTCTACCCAGCAAAACACTATCATTCAAAAATAGAACAGAGCAATAAAAAGTCTTCCATGATCAGCAGAAACTAAACCCAATATGTGACGCACAAAGCCACCACTACAAAAGATTCTGCACGGATTCTGCAACCACAGACCAGTGACAACCACTTTAACCATTGAAAAAAAGAACAGGCAGCCAACCAAAACCACAGGCACAAAGAAAAGACAGAAGTAGAGAGTAAACCCAACTTGTACACACAATCAAACCTTCAAACAAACTAAGACAACTAAATGACAGGAATCACCAACATACCTATCAGTCTAATGCTTAATTTACAGCCAACTTAATTCACCGCATTCAAAGGCACCGCTTTAACGAAATGGATTAAAAGGAAGATCCAACATTTGTTTGCTTACAGGAGAAACCCATCTCACCCACAGAAATAAGCATAGGCCTTTAGATGAAAGGCTGGAAGAGAATTTACCAAGCCAATGGCCCCGAAAACAGGTAGGAGTAGCAAATCCTTAATCTCTGACATGAAAGGTTAGACTTCAACCTAAAATTGATGCAACGAGATTAACGACGGACATTCAATTGCTAATAAAAGGGGGAAATAGACTTTATCCCAAAACCAGGCAAAGACAGACCCCGCAAAAAAGGAGAACTAGGCCCAATCTCCTTAATGAACATTGATGCAAAAATCCTCACAAAAATAATGGCAAACCGAATTCAACACACATCAAAAGATCATTCACCGACCATGTAGGCTTCATCCCAGGGATGCAGGGGTGGTTCAACATACGAAAATCAATAAACGTAATAAACCACATTAACAGAAGCAAAGACAAAAACCACTTGATCATCTCAATAGACACAGAAAAAGCCTTTGATAAGATCCAACACCATTTCATGGTAAAAGCTCTAAGAAAACTAGGAATAGAAGGAAAGTACCTCAATATTATAAATGCTATATATGACAAACCTACAGCCAGCATTATACTTAACGGAGAAAAACTGAAACCATTCCCTCTAAAATCAGGAACCAGACAAGGATGCCCACTATCTCCACTCCTATTCAACATAGTACTGGAATTCCTAGCCAGAGCAATTAGGCAAGAAGAAGGAATAAAAGGAATACAAATAGGTAAAGAAACTGTCAAAATATCCCTATTTGCAGACAACATGATCCTATACCTGAAAGACCCAAAAAACTCTACTCAGAAGCTTCTAGACATCATCAATAGCTATAGCAAAGTAGCAGGATATAAAATCAACATAGAAAAATCATTAGTATTTCTATACACTACCAATGAGCAAACTGATAAAGAATGTATGAAAACAATTCCATTTACAATAGCCAAAAAAAATCAAATACCTAGGTGTAACCTAACAAAAGATGTGAATGACCTCTACAAGGAAACTATACACTTCTGAAGAAAGAGATTGAGGAAGTCTATAGAAAGTGGAGAGATCTCCCATGCTCATGGATTGGTAGAATCAACATAGTAAAAATGTCGATACTCCCAAAGTAATCTACATGTTTAATGCAATTCCCATCAAAATTCCAATGACATTCATTAAAGAGATTGAAAAATCTACTGTGAAATTTATATGGAAACAAGAGGCCATGAATAGCCAAGGCAATACTCAGTCAAAAGAACAATGCAGGAGGTATCACAATACCTGACTTCAAACTATATTACAAAGCAATAACAATAAAAACAGCATGGTACTGGCACAAAAACAGACATGAAGACCAGTGGAACAGAATAGAGGACCCAGATATGAAGCCAACAACTATAACCAACTTGTCTTTGACAAAGGAGCTAAAAATATACGATGGAGAAATAGCAGCCTCTTCAACAAAAACTGCTGGGAAAACTGGTTAGCAGTCTGCAAAAAACTGAAACTAGATCCATGTATATCACCCTATACAAGATTAACTCAAAATGGATCAAGGATCTTAATATCAGACCCAAACTCTTAAAGTTGATACAGGAAAGAGTAGGAAATACTCTGGAGTTAGTAGGTATAGGTAAGAACTTTCTCAATGAAACCCCAGCAGCACAGCAACTAAGAGATAGCATAGATAAATGGGACCTCATAAAACTAAAAAGCTTCTGTTCATCAAAAGAAATGGTCTCTAAACTGAAGAGAACACCCACAGAGTGGGAGAAAATATTTGCCAGCTATACATCAGACAAAGGACTGATAACAGAATATATAGGGAACTTAAAAACTAAATTCTCCCAAAACTAATGAACCAATAAAGAAATGGGCAAGTGAACTAAACAGAACTTTCTCAAAAGAAGAAATTCAAATGGCCAAAAACACATGAAAAAATGCTCACCATCTCTAGCAATAAAGGAAATGCAAATTAAAACCACAAGATTCCACCTCACCCTGTTAGAATAGCCATCATTAGCAACACCACCACAACAGGTGTTGGCGAGGATGCGGGGAAAAAGGAACCCTCTTACACTGTTGGTGGGAATGTAACTAGTACAACCACTCTGGAAAAAAATTTGGAGGCTACTTAAAAAGCTAACATTGATCTACCATTTGATCCAGCAATACCACTCTTGGGGATATACCAAAAGACTGTGACACAGGTTACTCCAGAGGCACCTGCACACCCATGTTTATTGCGCACTATTCACAATAGCCAAGTTATGGAAACAGCCAAGATGCCCCACCACTGATGAATGGATTAAGAAAATGTGGTATCTATACACAATGGAATTTTATGCAGCCATGAAGAAGAACGAAATGTTATCATTCGCTGGTAAATGGATGGAATTGGAGAACATCATTCTGAGTGAGGTTAGCCTGGCCCAAAAGACCAAAAATCGTATGTTCTCCCTCATATGTGGACATTAGATCAAGGGCAAACACAACAAGGGATTGGACTTTGAGCACATGATAAAAGCGAGAGCACAAGGGAGGGGTGAGGATAGGTAAGACACCTAAAAAAAGCTAGCATTTGTTGCCCTCAACGCAGAGAAACTAAAGCAGATACCTTAAAAGCAACTGAGGCCAATAGGAAAGGGGACCAGGAACTAGAGAAAAGGTTAGAAAAATTAACCTAGAAGGTACACATGTACAGGAAACAATGTGAGAATCTCCTGTATAGCTATCCTTATCTCAACCAGCAAAAACCCTTGTTCTTCCTATTATTGCTTATACTCTCTCTACAACAAAATTAGAAATAAGGGCAAAATAGTTTCTGCTGGTATTGAGGGGGTGGGGGGAGAGGGGGGTGGGTGTAAGGGAGGGGATGGGGGCAGGGGGGTGAAATGACCCAAGCCTTGTATGTACATAAGAGTAAAAAAAAACAAACACTTTTGCTGATAAATTTTCTGAAAATCTTTGGGGAACTCCCTTGTATTTGGTAAGAGGATTGGATCTCTTGTATTCTCTTGATGCTTCATGATTCTCTCTTTGTCTCTGGCTTTTGACAGTTTGATTATAATGTGTCTTTATGTGAGTCTGCTTGGGTTTGTCTTAGTTGAAATACTTTGAGCTTTTTAACATGCATCTCCATTTCCTTCCTTAGATTTTTGGTGGTTGTTTCTTCAAATGTACTCTCTGCTCCTTTCTCTTCTTCTGAGATGCTCATCACGTACATACTGAGTATACGTAATGGTGTTGCGTAAGTTGTTTAGCTGCTGCTTCTTCTTGTTCCTGTTCCTGTTCCTCCTGCTCCTTCTTCTTCATCTTCTGACTTGATAAATTTAAATTATGTGCCTGAACTGACTGATTCTTGTGCTTGAATAAGTCTTCCGTTGATCCTTTCCAAGGAATTTTCAATTTAGTTACCATATTCTCTTAGCCTTGGAATTTCTTTTTTTTTTCTTTCTTTCTGTTTTTGGTGGTACCAGCATTTGAACTCAGGGCCTCACACTTGCTAAGTAGGTGCTCTACCACTTGAGTCACTCACCAGCCCTTTTTCGGTAGTGGGCATTTTCAAGGTAGGGTCTAGTGAACTATTTGCCTGGGCTGGCCTAGAGCTTCATTCTTCCTGTTCTCTGCCTCCTGGGTAGCTAGGATTACAGGTGTGAGCTATCAGCACCTGGCTTCTGCTTTGGAATTTCTGCTTGGTAGTTTGTGTCACTTTTATCTCTTTGTTGATACTTTAATTTTGTTTATGTGTAGTTCTCCTGATTTCATTTAGTTATCTATCTGTGTTCTCTTATAGTGTATTTTTTAAAATTTTATTTCTTTTATTCATATGTGCATATAATGTTTGGGTCATTTCTCTCCCCTTCTTACAGTGTATTGACTGTCTCTCTTTTCCCAAAGTTTTATTTGTGCATATTCAATTGAAAAAGGTAAATTTCCAGGTTATTTGGTGGCCATTTTCATCATATAAAAGTGTAGAAGACTATTCACAAATAAAACACATTAGCTCAAAATGGAAAAAATAGTAATGACAACAATAAAACAGTTTAAAGTAGTATATATTGTGACAACTCTACTTATGAACATGAATTACTGCAAAAATAAATACTGTGTCCTTTTATAAAAGCAGCAATGTCATGTCATAAACTTACTTTTTATATTTCAGCAAAGTTTGAAATAAAATCCAAATGAACTGGAGCTTATACTAGCTGTGAGTGAGTAAAAGCTTCTATTTCCTCAATTACTGTTGGGCAGTACTCCTTTTGTTTTGACTTCGATGTGCAGCAGGTTCAACAAGTGCTTAGTTGGAGACTGTAACCAGTTAAGTGATAAGTTATGAATTTTTTTCCTGCTTTCAAACACTTATGATGAATCTGTAATAGTAGCCACTGCCTTTTTTTTAGGCCCCATTACTTATGATGGTTCCTGTTGAAAAAAATCTGCAATGTAGTCCTTAGAAACTTATAACACATGGCAGTTGAATTTCAGGATCATAGCTGGCATGAAGCCTATTGTACTTTGTAAATTCTGGCAAACAAATTTCAAAAGGCATATTAAAACTGTCAAAACATTAACAACCTTCACATCTGTGAAAATTATCTGAAAACTTAGCTTCTGCAGGCCAAACACCACCACTAAATTTAGCTTTTTTCTTTACTTGTTACTCTAGAACAAATAATTTTTCCTGAGGACCAAATGGTAGCTGTAATTCTAGGTTTAGGTTTTTAAAGCTTCATTAATACTTTTCCAACATCATGCATGTAATTTATATTTACTCCCTCTAAAGCAATCTTTCTTTGCTCAAATGGCATCTTATTTAAGAACACAGACTACATTTATGATTATAATGTCCAATGAAGCATCACTGTTTGCATCCACTAACATTGTTTAAAACTTAGCTTGTGCACATGAAGATCACATCAGTAAACAATAACAGTTACAGTCATACAAAGTTATTCTTTCTTGAACTATTGATCTTTTTTTTTGAGTACTGGGGTTTGAACTTAGGGTCTACACCTTGAGCCACTCCACCAGCCTTTTTTTGGTGATGGATTGTTTTGAGATAGGTCTCACAAACTATTTGCCTGTGCTGGCTTCAAACCGTAATCCTCCTGATCTCTGCCTCCTGAGCAGCTAGGATTATAGGTGTGAGCCACTGGTGCCCTTCAAACTGTTGAATTCTTAAATTATTGGAGCAGAGCCAATAATTTGTGGGATGGCCACAAAGGATGTGGTGGCTGCACTGCTGCTGATTGCCTTGGATGCAAAGAAGCTGGAGGACAAGGATGAAGACAAAGTGAGTGTACTTCCCAGTCTCTGTGGATCCTGTGCTAGAAGTCACTGAGACTTGGGCTCCATCTTTTGAGCTTTGTTTTTCCAGGTACAGACCAACTGCCACTTCCCTGCAACAATGACAACTGAGTTTCAAGATGATTGTTTTGAATTATTTGTCAGGTAACTCACAGACCTCCATTTCTTTGAGGTTAGTTTCTGTAGTTTTAGTTTGTCCTTTTGTTTGTGCCATGTTTCCTTTTTTCTTTTTGTGCTTCCTTATTGTCTTAGTAGTAGTAGTAGTTATTGAAAACATAGCTTCCTCTCAGTCTTTATGGACTAGTTTCATACAGTATAAGACTTTTAATAGTCAGCCTGGCTAGAGATTCTAAGGCTTCTCAAACCTTTCATGGGGACTCATCTTTATGGACTTGTGCAAGTAATTTCCCAATTAGAGAGCTCTTTTCTTTCTTGCTGCCTTTGATATCTTTCTTCAGTACCACTATAACAAGCTTTGACAGGACAACAGTATGTTGTTTTTAAGTCAACGTCTCCACTGGGGAATGAAATTGGGCCTTCTTATTTCACAGTTTTACTGATGTCATTTCATCACCTAGGCAGTCTTTTTGCCAATGGAAATAATAATAAAAACATCCAGGAAAATCTGAAGACAATAACCACAAATACTTCAAAACTATCAATGTCAGGCTAGGAGCATGGTTCAAGTGTTAGAATTTCTGCCTAGCAGGTATGAGGCCCTGACTTCAAACCCCAGTAATAGCAAGTAAATAAACAAAATTATGTATATATATACAAATACATATATGTTTGTATATATTATATCAATGTCATGAAAGCCTTCCTTCACAAAGCAGGGAAAGTGTTTTACATTAATGAAGATAAAGGAGATATAATAGTTAGCACCATGCCAGAAGTTTGTTTAGATCATGAATTGTTAAAAAAGTCATAAAAGCTAGATGCAATGGCACATGCCTATATTCCCAGGTTTTTGGGAGGCTGAGAAAGAATTCAAGGTCAGTCTGGGCAACTCCATCTCAAAACAAACAAACAAGCCATTAAAGTCATTTGGGTACAGTGAGGAAATTTGGATATGTATTGCTTATCAAATGACATTTTTAAGTCAATAGTAACTCTCTTAGTTGTGGCAATGGTACCGTGAATACATAGAAGGACTATCCTTGCTTTTATGAAATCTATGCTGAGGAGGTTTGGCTCAAGTACTAGAGCACCTGCCTAGGAAATCTGTGCTAAAATATTTATGGGGAAATGTCATCATGTCTCACACACACAATATGAGCAATTACATGGCAATATGTTAACAGTTGGTAAATCTATATGAAGGTAATAAAGGCATCCCTTAAGCTTTGCATATTTAATTTTTAAAATAAAAGTTAGGAAGAAAAATCCTATGAAACATTATGCTTACATTCTAATTTTACAGTTGAGAAAAGTGAGATTCAGACTGATTAATTAGCTTACTCTAGGTTACATGATAGGGAAGATGGGAATTCAACCTGTGTAGAGTCATGCAGCTTTTGTGTTTTGTACATGCACAAAACTTAAGTTTCTAATTATTATTGCTCTTTTTTACAGAGAAGAAATCTGAGGCCCAGATAGGAGGTGGAGTGACACGGTCATGGGGTGTAAGAGGTTCAGGTAGAGTTTGGTGTTCTTATCTTCTTTTCAGTATGTGTTGAAGGGAGAGAGGATGGTGAGGGGAAGAGAGAGAGAGAGAGAGAGAGAGAGAATGAGAATTAGATTTATAACCTTAAGTTTTTGATAAACTCTTACCCTTTACCCTGACAAGCTTAAAAAGATCTAGAAATAGGGTCAGCCATGAGATGTGGCAACTGTGGGCTTGGTTTACAGTCTGATGGGTCCTGCATGCTGTTCACTCAGCTTGCTCTCCTCCCTGCACAGCCCCCAAACCCTTCAACACTCTCTCTCTCTCACACACACATAGACACACACACACACACACACACACACACACACACACACTCAGTCCTCACAGGCCTTATTCCTACGTATCCTTCAAACCTCAGATGAAATTCCTGCCTAGCAAGCAAAAGGCCCTGAGTTCAATCCTCCAGTACCACCAAACAAAGAAACAAACACACACACACAATAAAATCCATTTCAGGAAACTTTTGTTAACCCTTACCTGCCCCCTGCCTCATTCTCATCCCCATAAAGCTCCCTGTAATCATGGCTAATATTTTTTGGGCACTAATTGTGAGCATTTAACACATATCAAACTCAGTCCTCAAAATCTATGAGATTATAGTAATATTATCACCCCATTTTATGATGAAGAAATTAAGGCATAGAAATTACACACAGCTAGTACAGATTCAAATACAGGCATCTGGTTTGGAGCCTAAACTTTTTTTTTTTTTTTTTAGTATTGGGTTTTGAACTCTGGGTCTTGCACTTGCTAAGCATGAGCTCTACCACTTAAGCCATGCCCCCAACCCTGGAGCATACACTTTTAACCATTGCATGTAATTGATCTTCATTGCACATGTAACACTTATATTTGTTTATTCTGTGCCATCCCTGTTGATTTGAAAACTCCGTAGCTTGTTCACCAGCATCTCCTGGTTCTTAGCCTAGGGCCTGGTTATACCGGCAAATAATTGTTGAATAAGTAGTAATACAGGTAGTGTGATGGGAAGAGCAAAGCGACTGCAATCAGACCAGAATTAGTTACTTGGCTACTTACCAAATAGGTGATTTTCAATTGACTTTGAAGGACAGCAGTTTGGTATCTGAAAAATTGGCGATAAATTATTGTGGAACTTATTGCAACCACGTGGGACGCTTTGTTATACACCATACTCCTGTATAAAGGTCACTTATGGTGGTTTCTTATACCTTATGGGTAACCAAAGCAAGATTCTTCTTACTTTCAGAAGAGAAACAAGGTAGAGGCTGTGACCAGAAAACTGTCACTCCCTGCCTACGTTGACTAGGCCCCCAGGATAGACTTGAAATTCTAAGTTGGCCGTGAGAACCTTGGC